ACTTGATCGTCAGAGGGCACTCCCAATCTACCAAGCCTGGGTTTTGCATTGTCTTGCAGGTCAGCAAATCGGGAGCCCACCACAAGTGACCCACACACCAAACTATTTAGATTTCTCTTCCCAAACAACGACTCTAAACCCAAATTCTATTAATCTTCTTTTACCATCAAGCTCAATTCAAAAGACCAAGCCCCTAACAACTTTGTTGGGATCTTCTTTGTCAAGAATTTGATGTTGAGATATATGTAACAAGAAGGACTTGGCGAATTTAGTAGCTATTTGCCTTTCCTAGTTGGAGATTAACTCATTCCCAACTGACAAATTTGAGGTCCACGACTTGTTTCCGGATGAGTCACGTTATGCCCTACTTTTGCAGGCCGATATAACTGGTTCAACTGGTATTGGACAAAAACTGAATGGAAGTCAACCGGTATGAAGTATTAATCAAAAGAGGTAAAAATTACCAAAAATAAGAAAAGAGTGATTGACTGAAATAGTCAATTTTTAGTCTTTAAGCAAAATGGTGTCGTTTTGGTTGAGTTAACTAAAAAAAGAAAAGAAATTTGTCAAGTTTACACATCATCGTATGTCTTGTTAAAACTTAAAACCGACATAAATCGCATATAAATTGATCTTACCTCGACTTGACTGTATGAATTTTTAAACTAGCGTGAAATTATAAAGTAAAAACGGGTGTTTTCTTACTAGGAAACTTCTTGTGTTTGAATTCAATAAATGCACAATGACTTCTTGAAAAATGAAAGTTACACAATTGACACTTCTTCAAAACAAAATTTGAACGAGTATGTTTGATGTTGTTGATGGCTTAGAAAACTATGTTAAAGTACTCTATTCCTATGGATGTTCAGTGAGAGCTCCATAAACTACAAGCTACAACTATGGCTACATTGCAGAGAAAGGATAAAGTTTGACATCATGTGTTAAATGTTGGTTTTTGGGAACCCTTTTTACAATCTGTGTTTCTCCTATTTATAGTCATCATATCTAACTGCTCTAACTATCTCCGACTTGTCGGTTGTTCCAACCCGCTCAGGGTCCTCATCCTCGCCTTGGTAACTAGTTTTTAACCATTGACTTAATGGGTGTTGCCACCACCTTGGGGACCTGTCCCAACTTGCTGCCTAATTTGTTTCGTCTTGATGACGTGAAGTTGGGTTTGTGTTGAGTTAAAATTCACCCAAGTCTTGGCACCTTCTCTTGACTATATGGGGTTGAAGCCTCCTTGCCTTCCATCCATGATGAAATCCTTATCACAACTTGATACCCTCAATGGCACCATATTTATCTTTTTTGTGTTTTTTTTTCAACTTGCTGACCACCTTGATGTAACCTTCTTGTTGTCTTGGGACCGCTATCACCTTGATGATGTGAGAGAGAGCCCTCCATATCGACCTGGTACTACCTTCGTCGTCTTAATACCTAGGCCTTGTTACCCACCTTGACAGGATGAGAACTTAGTCCCCATCCCAAACAAGGCTCCATACCGTCTTAGGAAGCTCATCTTGGAGCCAACTTTTCATCTTGGTATCAAGCTTGTTTTATCAACCTGTTAGCAAGAAAATCTCATTGGCTTGGTACCTTGGTTGAACAACCTTCACCCCAAAGATTTCATACTTAGTCTTGAGAAGCTACGAATTGTCCTTACTTGCTTAGTACCCGCTCAGCTCGCCACCAACCATGTCTTTCCAGCTTGTCTCCAAAACTAAGTTTTTGGACTATTCTCTAGTTGGTACCTTGTCGCCTTGCCATCAAGCCCTTGATTCATGCCCTTGATACGTTCCAAATTGATGTTTTCCGCCTTTCTAGACCTTACTCTCTAGCCAATTTGGTACCCTGTCATGTTGCCACCAAGCCCGTCTCATTGGCTTGGTACCATGATCCATTTCACAATGTTATACAACTCGTCAAGTTGGAACTTTGGTGGCATCGTCTTGCCACCAAGTCTTCTTTTCGGCTTTAATACATGTCCTCTAGCTAGGGGTGGACATCCGTACGCTTAGGTTCAAACTGAATGGTGTCGGCGGTAGAAAGACGAGAGTCAGGGACTCAGGTCTGTTGTCGCCTCTTGCTGGTCACGAAGGAATTCGATTGCATGTCGTCGCCATTAAAGGCTGCGGATGGTCCATCTTCCCACATAGCTCGACTGTTGTCCAATTGGCAGCATAAGGAATCGTCGATGAGGGGGCGACGACCTGATGGCACCTTATGCAATCTCTACAATTGCCACTCGTGCTTCTTCTTTTGGCTTTCTCTTTTGTTGTATCTGTAATTGCGAGAGGTGGGAGGTGGGAGATTTGGGATTTTGATTTTTTAGAACCAACATGGAACAAATGAAGACCAGAAGAAGAGTAGGAAGTAAAGAACGCTGGGATTTTGTCATTTTGATGTTGGTTTTCTTTTTAATCTTTAGACATTAGGGTTGCCGATTTTGGGCTTAGAACTTAAGAGTTTGAGTGGGCTTTTGGATTGAGGGAGTTGGGCTACCCGTAGGTAATATGGTTTGATAGCCAATTTGTGGGATTAGGGTTTAGTTGGCTCTGGCCTGCGGGAGTAGAGCCTTGGGCTCATGCAAAATTTGGTTTTTTGGTTCCGATTTGGAATTCAGGTTTGGTCGACATGAGTCTTTATTTCCAAATTAGACCTCTTTTCATTCCAAAATCCGATCCGAATACTACAAATTTCAGTGTCGATCGATTCGACTGCAGTTACGATTGTGGTTCGGAAGAGTGAACCCCAACCGAATCCCCACCCCTACTCTAACCATCTTGGTATCGTCGTCTCATCGAGTTGGTACCTTGTCGACTTGATCTTTATACTTAGATTTTGGAGCATCATTAAATTGGTACCTTGCTACCCTGTTATCAAGGACTTCGGGACTCCATACTTAGTTTTTAAGAGCCACGTTTCATAACTTGCTATCAAGTCTATCCTGCAAACTTGATCTAGTTTTTGGAGCCTCCTCTAGTTGGCACTACCAAGCTCGTCTTGTCGGCTTGGTACTCCACCATATTAAGTTCAAACTTAGTTTTTAAAAGTCAAATTTCATACCCACTAGCTTGTTACACTTAATTTCATATCGGGCACTCATGCCTGAGAGAGAGAGAGAGAGAGAGAGAGAGAGAGAGAGAGAGAGAGAGAGAGAGAGAGAGAGAGAGAGATGGACCACCTAGGCCCAAAAACTCAATCCAATAAGGTGAGCTAGCTCATTTAATGTTTAAAGTTGATTTGACCGTGTAAATCTATTAAATCTTTTGTAATTAATCGGTGTGGTACAAAGTTAATTTTTAGGGTTAACAACGGGGTTTTTTTATTGCCCAGAAACCTCAGCCCCACGTGCCACTTTGTGACAGCGGGTCCTACTAAAAATGGGGCCACCTGCAATCAAATTCGACGCCAACGGGACATCGTCGCCAGCAGCCTTGTACCTCCAGGAACACCAACGGGCCTCGCTTGGATTTGAACCTGGGATCTGCAACTCCCAAACCTTCACTGTCGCGCCAGCTTTACTGTTAGCTTATCTTACCTTTGGTGGGTAAACAACGATTAACAACCTTGGGACATACTTTTCTCTTTCCACCACTTTTTAATTCAAAATTTAAATATTTTATGAAAGATAATAAATTACTCCCCTAAACAATGCAAGTTTTTCACTATTAAATTAAAAAAAAAAATTAGATCTATGAATGACTTAATCGAATGACTAACAATCACATGACATTCTCCCAGGTTTTAAGAAACCGTACCGTATTGGTCGATCCGATCGAAAAATATCGAATATCGAACCTTAAACTATAGGTAATTTAAGCGGTACAAAACAATTGAACCACAATTATTCATAATTTTAGTACAAAATATATCTCTAATTCTTTATATATAATATAACTTTCTGTTAGGTTTCACAAATATTGCCTTCTCCTAGGGATGGCAAAAATATCCGTAACCGTGGATATCCACCCGAATCCACCCTAATCTGGTAGGGTAAACCCCGAACCCGAAAGACATTTAGTGGGTACGGGTAAAACCCAAACCCGAATATTGTGGGTAATGGGTGGGCATGGATTTCTCACTATCCGACCCGAACCCGCCCGATTATACAAATGCATATGTATTTTCTCTAACATATTTTATATTTACCATATAAGTATAATATTTTCATGAAATTGTGTTGTTTTAATTAATTTTCTTCATTCTAGTGAATTATTGCCGTACTTTTCCTCTTACATAATGTGAGAATTCGTGTGAATGTTAACATATTGGTTGAAGTTATGAAGAGAAATGATTACCCATGGATAACCGTGGATACCCGAAACCCGAACGGGTATGGGCATGGTTTTGATTTTCTACCCGTTTCACATGTGAGTATGGGTATGGGTAAAACCTGAAGTACTTTGAGTAGGGTAACGATTATGCACTATCCGCCCCCGACCCGACCCATTGCCATCCCTACCTTCTCCCATAAAAAAAGAAGAAAGTCGGTAAAAAAAAACGTAAACAATAAATACGTAGGCAAGAATATTTTTGGGCTGGTTTAATTAAAATCTGTGATTGGGCCTAACTGAGCCGATGGCCGAAAAACTAGAGTCCTGTCCTCTATCCATATGCGACGCAACGCAAGGACGACATACACACCGACTGTGACTCGGAGAGAGAGAAAGATAAAGAAGGAGAGGGAGAGAGTGTGTGATGTGATGACATCTGGATTTGGATCTTGGATTAGCCGAGGCCCAATTTGGTACTTTCACAGGTGAGTTCCCCTAGACAGACACAAAGCAGAGTAGTAAAGCAAAGTAGCAAGCTCCCCACAAAAAGCAAAAATAATTAGAAAAGGAAACAAAAAGAAAGAGAAAGATAAAGACAAGTCCAGTCCAGCCCAGTCGGGTCTGTTTGTGGGCCGTCGGGTTCTCCCCTCTCTCTTTTCTTTTTCCCCCTAATTCTCATTTTGTTTTTCTTCATAAGATTACCGTTAATTAGTTTATAGCGAGGAAGGAAAAAATGAAGAAAAACTCTGGTAAAAATTAAACGAAAAGACTAATTATTAATAATTCTGCTTCCTTTCTTTCTTTCATTCTCTGATTCTCTCTCTCACTTTCTCGCTGGTTGCCCGTTGGAAACCAAACAGTTCTCTTTTCTCTCCACTCTTTTACACAGACCTTCCTTCACATTCCCACTTCCTTCTTCACTGCGCTCACACTCTCCGCAGGGACATCAAATTTAATATGAGCTGTTTGGGCATTCCATCCCACCACCACCGGTTATGAATCCCTCCGCCGCCGTCGACCCACCACTGCTCCAGCCACCGCAACCACCGCAGGCACACCGTCCTTCCACCTCCTGCCCCCGCCACCCGGAGGAAAGCTTCACCGGCTTCTGTCCCTCATGCCTCTGCGAGCGCCTCGCTGTCCTCGATCACTCTGCTTCCGCCGCTTCCGCTGCTTCCACTTCCCGCAAACCCCCCCTCGCCACCGCCGCCCTTAGGGCCATCTTCAAGCCCTCCAACTCCAACTCTTCCGCCGCCGCTGCCCCGAGCTTGAAGCCTTCCTCCTTCTTCCCCGAGCTCCGCCGCACCAAGTCCTTCTCCGCCTCCAAAAACGAAGGCTTCTCCGGCGTCTTCGAGCCCCAGAGGAAATCTTGTGACGTCAGGGGGCGCAGCACTCTCTGGTCCTTGTTCTCCCAGGACGACGACCGGAACCCAGGCAAAGAAATCGACCACCCCAGAGCTTCTACCTCCAGCATCCGTGCCGCTTCTCTTCTCAAGTCCAGCGAAGACGGCGAAATCGAATCAGAGAGCGAAGGAGAAGAAGAAACCGCCGCTAATGTCGCTGAAATTCGGCCTGACATCAATGCCAGAGTCGCCATTGACGAGGCCATTTTGACTGCCAGAAACTCCAACGCCAACCCAATTGAAGAAATAATCGAGGAAGAAGAGGAGGAGGAGGAAGAAGAAGAGGAAGCCATTGTGGCGATTGAGCCAGAGCCGGCGGCGGTTCAAGAAGAAGAGGAAATTTTGAAGCCGATGAAAGACCATATAGATCTCGACTCCCAAACCAAGAAGCCCTCCTCGGGGAGGGATTTCAAAGAGATAGCCGGAAGCTTCTGGTCCGCCGCCTCTGTATTCAGCAAGAAATTGCAGAAATGGAGGCAAAAGCAGAAGATGAAGAAGCGGCGGAACGGCGGTGGCCCAGGCTCGGCCACATTGCCGGTGGAGAAGCCCATTGGGAGGCAGTACAGAGAGACCCAGTCGGAAATCGCCGACTATGGCTTCGGCCGTAGATCGTGCGACACGGATCCGAGATTCTCGCTCGATGCCGGCAGAATATCGTTCGACGACCCTCGCTACTCCTTCGACGAGCCTCGCGCCTCGTGGGACGGTTACCTCATCGGAAGAACTTTCCCCAGAATGCCCACCATGCTCTCCGTCGTCGAGGACGCTCCGGTGAACGTGGTACCAAGGTCCGACGCTCAAATCCCCGTCGAAGACCCCTCGCCGCCGGCTGCGGTAACAACAACCGAAGACGAGACGACGGTGGTTCCCGGTGGGTCGATCCAGACGAGGGATTATTACTCCGATTCCTCCTCCAGGAGAAGGAAGAGCCTGGACCGCTCCAATTCCATCAGAAAGACGGCGGCGGCCGTGGTGGCGGAGATCGACGAGCTGAAATCCTCTGTTTCTTCCAACTCCAAAGTGTCTCCGGCGACCGTCGAGTCCTGTCCGAAGCTGCCAGCAGCTGCAGTCGTCCCTCCCGACAGGGACTGGAGGGACTCCAACTCCAACTCGCTGCGGGACGATTGCTCCGTGGAGACGTTCGATTTGGGTTTCCGAGACAATGCATCGGCGGTAGCTTCTTCTGCTAACGGCAAGGCAGGGGTGAACAAGAAGTCAAGGAGATGGGGGAAAGCTTGGAACATTTGGGGGTTCATACACCGGCGAAGTGGGAACAAAGACGATGACGAAGATAGTCGTTACAGCAGGGTAAATGGGGTGGAGAGGTCGTTTTCGGAGTCGTGGCCGGAGCTAAGAGGGGGAAGGAACGGAGATGCCAGAATGGGTGCGGGGTTCAACAACCCCAAGCTTTTGAGGAGCAATAGTAGCCTGAGCTGGAGGCACTCCAACGGGTTCGCCACTGCCGGCGGCGGCGGTGTTGGCGTGGGGTCATTTGGGAGTGGAAGAAAGAGCAATGTAGAGACTTGTAGTAATAATGGGTTTGGAATTGGAAGGAAGAAGAGAGAGGAGTTTGTGCTGGAGAGGAATAGGAGTGCAAGGTATTCGCCTAGTAGTGTTGACAATGGTCTGTTGAGGTTCTACTTGACTCCCCTGCGAGGCAGCCGGAGAGCCCCAGCGAGCGGCAATGGAGGAGGAGGTGGCGGCGGCGGTGGTGGAGGTATTGGAGGATGGGGAAAGGCGAAAACGAATCAAGCACATTCGATCGCTAGGAGTGTTCTGCGATTGTATTAGAGAGAGGAAAGGTGTTTACTTTCAACTCTTTGACAAGTAAGAAGGATGGATGCATTTGTTGTGTAACTGTAAGCACACATAATTGCTGCTTCCTTCTTCTGGGATTCCTTTGGTTGGGGGGGATTGGATTAAGGTAACAGGAAAGGGGGGGAAAATGGCAAACTTCCCTTAGGAATTGGTTTACCCCTTTTCCTGTTTTTATTTTCCAGTTTCGTTTGCATGGCTGCTGCTGCTGCTGGTTCTGCAATTATTCAAATAACAACAGTTTTTTCAGTTGGGGGTTGTTGCTTCTTCTTTGTCTCTCTCTGATCATTTCGTTAGTTAGTTAGTTCTTTGTTGCTGCTGCTGCTGATGGTGTCTTTTGTCCTCAAGTTAGAGCATTTCTTTACTACCAAAAAAACAAAGCAAAGCCTCTGGGAGATCTGCAGATGTTGTTGTCTTTCGGATTTCAATAGCACTCCTCCTCCCCCCTTTTCTTCTGCTTGTCCTGAATTACATATACAAGGAATCAATCAACGGGAGGAACATTTGCATGTATAGTAGTAGTGGTGCAAAGAGAAGAGAGAGCATTATTCTGTTGGGTGGGGGGGACTGGTTGTTTTGGTTCTTGGCATTTGTTACAAGACAAGCCATGTACATCCAAAATTGTTTCCATTCAAAATGAAGCAAATTCTAAGCCCTAATGGGTGTTTGTTAAGTTGAAGTTGAATCCATTAGACCTACATGTACACTGTCCTAATCCCTTTTCACTGATCTGTTCAAACTGGATTTCAGAGGAGGTTATTAGATTGTATATTTGTCCCTGGAATTCCTTTGGGGCTACTTTGTCTGCATCTACTTATTATTCTCCTTCTATGATAGATACCCTTTTGCCATATATGTAAGGGTTCCTGGGGGTGAAGCTACTGCTAGGTCAACAATCTTGCCATAGATGGGCTTCTCTGAGCTTCTTTTCTGTTGGGGAATTCCCCGTTTTGCTGCATTACTCTGCTATGCTACTGGTGAGTTAGTTGCCAAAATCCACCATTTCACGACCGTAAGTAACAATAAGTGAGTTTCTGACACTCATGAGTGAGTAAGAGATCTGCTGCAATCAAGAGCGCTCTCTCTCTCTCTCTCTGTAGTCTGTAGGGCTCAAATCCCATTAGCAAAACAGACGGTTTTATATATAAATAAAAAGAAGGAAAGAAACAAAAGGGAAAGGCAATGATTAACCCATATGAAAGCAAAGAATTTGTGCTGGATTTCGGTGTGTTGGGTTTGTAGGTAAGTAACAAGGGAAAAAGGAATCTGAAGCTTTGAGATCGATCATATGCTCTGCTTTATTATTATTGATTGATTGTTCTTTCGCTGAGATGTTTTGTTGTTGGGTTAGGGGTTCTCCATGAATGAATGCTAAAAGTGAAAGTTATAGTAGCAGCTGAGCTGAGCTGAGCTGAGCTCCCACCATCTATCTAACACAGACAGCAACAATTTTGGGCTCTAAAGTCAAAAAGGGAGCAGGAAAAACATACCAACATGCCTCCTCCATGAATGAATCAGATCGCAAAACAAAGTAAAAAAGGAAAAGGGTAAAGGAAAAGAGAAAAAGAAGAGAGGGCTCGTAACCCGATGGCTGCCAAGATGACTACTCGCAAGTCCCAACTCATCCATGTCATTGAGGCCAAGGCAACATGATTGCAAGTGGGTTGCTGCTCATTTTGGATTTATTGGAACGCAGGCCAACCATTTGGGTCTCAGCTTACCTTTGCTTGCCGACCGTTAAAATTCAGAAACAGCTTCGTTGTCCTATTTCATCTTGTTGGGCCTAGAGAGAGCCTGCCCAAAGGAGGAGAATCGTAGAGAATGAGCTTGTTATGCCAAAAGAGATCCGGCCCTATGACGAAGAGCCGAAGGGAATGGGCTTCGGGGGCCCAAATCGGGTGACTAACCCGCCTGGTGGATGTGTCTCAACTCTCACCTGATCCTGCTATACTAAGATGCCATCAGGCGTATGAGCAGGCAAGTACCAGACATTTAATGCAGGAGGTACTTTTCGCCGTATTTGGAAGATCTTGGTCGAGACTCGAGACATTTATGTATAAATGCGGGAATGTGAACCATTTACGAAGGTTGGACTCTCACTTAAAACTCCATACTCACACTTTCTCACGCTAACTAGATTGTCAGAGTTGAAACCGGTCGAAATGGGTCGTATTTTGTGTTCTTGGTGGAGGGTGACTTAGGGAGTCCAACAAGGATATCCGAGCATCAACAATTGGCCCACTAGAAAAGGGCTCGATGGCTAATAAATTCACTCTGCGGAAGCATACGATCCTTGAAGGGGGCACACACCGCGAGAGAGGCAGAAAATAGAGTGAACACACCAGTGCCTGATCGTGCTCGTGTGCGATTGAGTTTTAAATTTACAAGTCGATGCACACTCTCTATTCAATCCTAACTAATCCAAGTATAACCTAGTTAGGGTTGTATTAAAGTGGATCGGTCTTATTCCAAGGGAACACTAAGTTTACTATTACTTTGCTTCAGACTACTATCTAACCGGTTCGGAAATTTGGTGAAGGGTTTTTAACTAATCTAATCTACTCCTAAAGGCAAAATAAACAACCAACCAAGTGGTTGGGAGAACGCTAGAGATGAGACGGTTGCCTAGGGTCGAATCCTCCTAGCTATGGTTGTCAAGTAGGGTTAATGGAATGTGGTGAGTGAGCTTTTTTCCGTGGGCTTTCGTGGTTATCAACACGCCTCCCCTAAACCCATATATAGTCACCTCGATCTAGGTTATTGTATCTAATTTTTGGAAGGCAAGAACTTTGTCACCAGCTGGTAGAGTTACTCTTGCTTGTGTTGTGTCCTCCCCATGTCTTCATGCGATTAAATTGATAAAAAAAATCAGGGGTTTATCTGAGGCTATAAAGATGGGAAAAGGGAAGATCCACCTAGTTCAATAGGGTACTCTCTGTAAACCAAAAGATCAAGGTACTTGGAGTTAGATCTGCCAAGAACCTCAGCATGTCATATCTTGTCAAAGTGGCATAGCATATGCTCAATGACGAAAACTCTATTTAGGTGTAGGTTTTATAGACTAAGTACTTCAGGCATAGTGGTGACAACATAACTACTATGCAGACTAGCAATCATCCCTCGTTGTGGAAAGCCATCATGAGGGCTATGCTAATTATGAAGTAAACAACCTGATGGAGTGTTGGGATGGGAGGTCAACCAGCTTCTAATCCATGGATCAACAAAGGGCTTTTCTTAGAGGACTTCCTCCTCACCTGCATTACAAAAATGAAAGGGAAGAACCATTATGCAATTGGGTGATTCAAGGGATTGAGATTGGAGTAGGCTGAATCGTTTGCTCCTTGATGAAATTCTATCCCTCCTTGCAAGTACTGACACTCCAAAGCGGAATTTGGGAAATGACACAACTATCTAGGGAATCAAACCAGATGGCCGATTATGCCTAAAGTCAGCCAACGAGCTGGAGATGGCAGAATCGATTCTTCACCTCAGCCATGATAGTTTTGTTTGAGATATCTGGTTGAGCCTCGATCAAGTGCTTTATGGTTGCACCCGCTTTCTTTGCTTTTAGTTGGAGGTGATCCTGGGATAGTATGGTAGAGGAGCAGTTGTGGTTGTTCTAGACTGTGAGAATACCCAAGCTCCCTTTCTCTTCATATTTGCAGCCCGTAGTTGCCACATACATCCCTCTCCAGCATTATTGCATATAACATGGAGTTGTTTGCCATCAAAATATTTTACCCTCCACTTGAAATTCCGCCATGGCTTCTTCGCTAAAAGCATTAGCAATAGCGTCCTACGAAGCGAACGCTATACCCACCTCCAAATCGGTCTCCAGATATACACGATCATAGGGAGAAAATCAGGAGCATCGTTCTGACCATATAATTGATAGGATGGGACATCTGTGTAGTATGGCGTAGGTGGCTCACAGAACGCTACCTCATCCTCCTTATCTTCATCCTCACTCACTGATCTCAAATCTTCACTTTCCTCGTCGCTGGAGGCGAATGGATAGCTCGGGCCATGAGGATCATCGTGACCAGCACCACCAACATCGTCTTCACGCTCATGCGAAGTATGCCCAGATTGAACGATGTTCTCAATGTTAGCCCATTTTGGCCCCCAAGCAGGCCATTGAATGTCGTCAGGCTCAACAAATGGGGCAGGCTCAGCACGGTCACCAAGCTACAGGTATTCTTCCCATGGCACCCCCGCTCCAGAACTACCTACTCCATAACCAAATTCATACCCTTTTGCAAAACCATCATCATAAGAATATTGGTGAGAATGAGTTTCACTGACCACCTCAATCTCAACATACACCTCTGCCAGCCTAACTCTGTTGTTTGTTAAGAATGGTAACATCATGGTAACCACGTCATCATCATATATGAAAACTTCTTCGTACATGACCCCGCCTCCACTCATGTTTGGATAACGGTAAGCAATTTTACCAACACTCGTCTATCCGCTAATACAAATCATGTATGCACAAATGTCATGGAGTTCTTGCCACTTGAATCTAAACTCAATTTTTAACATAGTGGATTCACCATCTTTAGAATCAATCCCAATGTGGGAGTTTGTCACCGACCATTCCACCGAATAAGAAGCTGGAACTTCTTGAATTTACCCACGTCTGCAATTTATAATAAGTAACAATCAGCTTTAATCAAAACATGTAGCATAATTAGCATTACTTTAACATGAGTATGCTAAACAAATTCATCTAAAACCATAACTAACGATAATTCGTTAAATACAAACATATAACCAATTAAGTTAAAAGCGTGTTTCTACGTAGAAGCATTTTGATGATCTAGAAGTGTAAAATTGTAAGCTTTTAAGACTAAAAGCGTGTTTTTAACTACAATAGTTATAAAAACTGCGATTCTGCTTAGAAACGTTTTGGTGACCTAAAAACATAAAAGAGTTAGTTTTTAAATTTTAAATCGTGATTTTGACTACATTGCATATAACTACTAAAACATCAACAATCTAAACAATATCAAATTAAAACATACATTAAATTAGAGTTTTTGTATGAAATGGAGAAGGGGTTTGGCATAAATTGGGGAGGGGTTCGACGGAAATGGGGAATGAGTTTGGTTCAGTAGCTACGTGAGAAGGCTATTTATTTGCCCAACGGCCTGCATTCACCGCCTTTGTCTAAGTGGTGAATGTTAGGTCGTTGTGACCTAATTATTCACCTACCAGGGTTGAAAAACGTGAGAAATGTTCACCCTTTTGTAAAAAAACAGTGAACACTTAACCGCTTTTGACAATGATGGTGAACCATTCACTATTGACGAGAGCGGTGAAGTGTTCAACGCATTAGGGTAAAGCGGCTTCATGTTCATCGCATTGGAGAAAAGTGGTGAATATGTTGATCGCCTTAGATTAGTAAATGTGTGCATATATTTAGGAAAAGTGGTGAATATTCTCAAACATTTGTAGATTAGGAAATTTTTTAATGTACATATTTAGTGAATATTTTTTAAGAATGTGTGTATTCGGGTAAAATACATCGGGTACCACTTAAGTTTGAGAATTGGAGCAGACATATCACTTAAGTTTGAATAGGGCGTCAGGTACCACTGAATTTTATTGTTTGTGCACCCGGTACCACTTAAGTTTAATGTTAAATGCATTCCGTTAAAGTTAACAGAATATTCTTGGAATATTCCATTTTCTAAATTTCTGAATTGATCCTTCTACTTTTCTTATTGTCAAAAATCATTTTGACTTATGAAAAACATCAATTTTTATTATTTAGTAGGTATCATATTTTGAAGACTTGATATCAAATTAATTTTTGAATAGAAAATTTAGAATCAATTATCATTATAAGTTTTTTCAATTATTCATTATGTTTTCTAATAATTGAATTATTCTCGGAAGTAAATATATCCTATGAATTTTGTTTATTTGGAATCCTCTTTTGAAGATTATGATACCAAACCAATTTTTGAATCGGAAATGTAGAATCAATTATCATTATAATTATTTTCAATTATCATTATGTGTTATAATAATTGAATTAGATTCTATTTCAACTATTATTAAAGGTACTTCTAATTGAATTAGGGGTTTGAATAGATCTTCTAATATTGATTTTAAATATATATTATTCTTTTTAATATTTATTTATTATTTTTACTAAATTATCTATTTTATTGAGAATTTTAATTAGCTATTTAGTAATATTATGTTTAGAAGTTTTTTTAATTTTTATATTAGATAAAAACTTGTTGATATATAGTTTTGGATGTTTTTAAAAGTTTTGGGTGACAAAAAGTAATTAAAATTGTGGGTTGGATGGAAAACTAGACGGATACACATTTTGGCGTCTTTAGTGGTACCCGACGCGGTATTCAAATTTAAGTGGTATGTTTGCCTTAATTCTCAAAATTAAGTGATACCCGAAGTATTTTAGAGAGCGGATAGTATAACAACAACTCATTTGTTGTTATTGTAACAACATGATTCATTAAGGGTAATAGGGTAATTTAACATTAAAAAAAATTTATTTAATCCATCGCCAAATCAAGAAGCGGCGGCGGCTGTTCCGATCAAGACCAGCAACTAGCTCGGGAAGCTTCCTCCGGTCCCCAATTTCCCGGTGGCTATACCAATCACCGGCGACGGGTCGTTTGAGAGGCTAACGCTAGGACCGCTGACGAGCACACCAAATTTAAAACCCAATAAGCAGTTGGTTCGTCCGATTCCGATTCCGATCCCGCCCTCTTCCAAAATGGCTTATCTCAATTGGAAGTAGAGGATGATGGGTAGTAGTAGCCTTTCCAGCGGTCATCATCATCAGGAAGGGTTTTTGCCTCTGTCGCTGAGGCTTTCAATGAATCCTTCCTCCGCTGAGGCCATCATCATCAGTCATCGTCGGTGCCGCCTCCTCCTGTTGTTAGCTTAGCAATTGGGGGAATTAGCTGGGATTTCGGCCTGCCATCAATGAATATCTCGCCACTCCGCAAACATGCATGAGTTAGCCGGGAACTTGTGTTGGTGGCGGGTGAAGAAGACGGAGATGGAGGAGTTGCGGCAGAGTTGGATTTTGGAGATGTGGTTGGCAAAATCGGGTCGATCATTGAGGAGAAGGTCGATTACTAGCAGGTCAGAGGTTTTGTGCTCTGAGTTTCGTTTTTGGATCTCGTGAATTTGGTGTAGGAGCCATTGTTACTCTGCTGGTGTGAGACGAAGAAAGTGCTAGGAATGAGAAGGGAAGGTGAGTTAGGAATCTATTGTTGTCTAGTAGCAGTGGGTGGATGAGGGTTTGTTGGGATTTGGTCGGGCCTGGGCTGGGATTGGTTGGCCAGATGGGCTTGCAAAGTGACAAGCCTGGAAGTCTAGCTTAATTCATGACAACCCATTAAACATAATCCATAATAAAAAGTCTAACAAAGTGTTGGATATAAGAATTTGAATGGTACCATTAAAAAATGGGTGCAAATTTTTGTGATTTTTTACGATAAATCAAAATTTGCTAATGGCTTTTGTTCCATCTCATTATTTACAATTTCATTATATAGTAGTTATTAATTAAGTTATAAATATAATTAAAATTAACACAAACATTGTTTTCACTCAGTTGGTTCCCTCTTTGGTTTTGTACTAGCCCAGAAGTTTCTGACATTCGTTTTTTAGTGTAACCTAATCACCAACAACAAGAAGCTAGGTAGGTAATTTATATTGGTATTTAGTAATTCTAATCACAAATATTTCTAATATAAAAAACCCCCTAGTGCAAACCACAACGCAATAAAACAACCCACAAAATACATACTATAAACCTCCTAATGCAAACCACAAATTCGCTAAAACATATCAGAAACCCCACAAAACAAACCATAAATATTTTGAAAAGCACACCAGAAACCTCCTAATGCAAACCACAAACACGGTGAAGCAAACCAAAAACGTCCTAATGCAGACCACAAATATATTAAAACAAACCAAAAACCTCGCAAAGCAAACCACAAAAGTTTCGAAAGCACACCAGAAACTTCTTAATGCAAATAAGAAACCTCCTAGTACAAACCACAAGTCTCCTAAAACATGCTAGAAACCCGCAAAGCAAACCACAAATATGTCATAAGCACACCAGAAACCTCCTAATGCAAACCACAAACACAGTAAATCAAACCACAAAAAAGCAAACCATAAACGTCCTAATGCTTACCACAAATATATTAAAACAAACCAGAAACCCCTCAATGCAAACCACAAATTTTTTGAAAGCAAACCAGAAACTTCTCAATGTAAACCACAAACACTATAAAGCAAACCAGAAACTTTTTAATGCAAACCACAAACACGATAAAGCAAACCACAAAAGGCATAAGAAAATATGAGAAACCAAACCATAAATCTCACAATGCAGACCATAACATCCGGTGGTCGTTGGCCGTTGACCGGCAGTGAGTAGATTCCGGCGCCGATAGGCATATTCCGGCCCCGATGACTAGATTCCGACGCCGGTAAGCATATTCCGACCACAATGAGCATATTCCGGCGACGGTATGCATATTCCGATGACAAAATAGCATATTCCGGCGACAAAAAAATATTCCGGTGACCGAATTCCGGCAACCGAAATTTTGGGCCGAAAATAAAAAAATATTTTTTATTATTATTTAAACATTTTTTTCATAATGACAATTATATCCTGCTTTGATTTTACACTAGGTCTACTTAACTAATAAAAAGTCATCACAACCCTAACTTCCTTTGATTGGAGACTAATGTTGTTATAATAGGGTGTTGTCAGCCTATCTAGTCCCAGTATTTTACACTCTGTATGAGAAAAAATCATGTATTAATTTGAGGGGTTAATATTTCTGTATGGCCTGAACTTTGACCAAAATAAACATCCTGACCAATCTTTTCGATCTATAACATCCTGGCCCGAACTATACATCAAAATAAACAATTTGGCCAAATCCGACTTTTGACCGTTAACTTGGACGGTCAAACGCGTTGACTAACGGTCAACGCGCCATGTCACTGCCAACTCAGCACAATAAATGTTAAAAAAATTAAAAAAAGCCATATAATCACCAATTGTGAATTATTTCAATTAAGGTAAAAAAACATAAAAAAAAGAAAGCAGCCCAATCGAACTTTGCAGATCGAACTTAACACAAATCGCAAACCCATACTCCATCACCGCCAAAATCGATTTCCGATTGCGATTTCCAGATCTGGGCAAAATCGAGCCTCTGTCCTCCGCCGTTCCCAACGCTGGAAACCATTCCCAATCCATTGATGGCAAGAACTACGGCCGGCTAAAGAGAGCCCCACGAGAGCTGCTGAATTCAGTTAGGGGCAAGCTACAAACTCGATGATCTGAGCCGAGAGTCGTTGGTGGAGCAGGAGATGAACGAGGCGTTGTTCCTGGTGTGCTTGAACGAGGCGTACAGGTACTACGACACCCTCTTAGAGTCGATAGAGGCGAGGGTGCAGGGGGAGGCGGAGCGTGGCCGCGTGGAGGAAGGATTGGGGAGAAAGCTGGCGAACGCGATGACCTGCAAAGGTTTTCGGGAAATGGCGGGGCCGGATGGGGATGCCGGGTTCAACAACCTCGTACCTTTCCTCCTTGAGCGCCTTGCAAGCCTGAGTCCCCGAGTAATCGAACTCGCAAGCTTGCCCAATCACAATCGATCCCACACCAAGTATCATAAATAGCTCCTCTTTTCGACAACCTTCGCCTCCATCGCCGCTTCTCTAGCCTTCGTCGAGCTTCAACGCACAACGACGGATTAGGTACACCCCTTTGAGTGGCGAATCTCCCGTCGATGCCGGCATGAGTGGATGTTTAGAGAAGAGAAGCTGTCGTTCCGGTGGGAGAACAAGGCGGAGCTTCCGGGACTGGGAAGACGGCGATCGCAGCGGTTCAAGCCTGCTCATTGTTTGTCGCATCTGTTCAAATTGGAAATGGGGTCTGTTGGAAGCTGGAAATTGGTCACGAATTAGGGTTTTAGAATCAAAGAGGAGGAAGAGGCAGTTGGGAACTCCGAAATTGAAGAAGAGGTTGGGGGAGGAGACGGAGGGAAATCCGGTGGGGTTACTATTTTTTTTCTTTTAATTTAATTGTAATAATTCAAAATTAGAAAATATGTGTAAATTGTGAATATTTAATGATTTTTATGATGACCGAATGGTGACGTGACATATTGACCGTTAGTCAACACGTTGACCGTCCAAGTTAACGGTCAAAAGTCAGATCTGACCAAATTATTTATTTTGATTTTTGTTCGGGTCAAGATATTGTAGATCGAAAAGATTGTCGAAAATATTTATTTTGGTCAAAGTTCACGCTAAAAATATTAACCTATTTTGAGCTCGGTAGTTGAACCCGAACGTTCATTGATCAAAGCCGTCGGTGTTCTTAAAGGCCGGAAAGCAACGCCACATTCTTCCCAAATTCTATTTGCAGAGATGAAATGCCGAAGGCCAGAAAGTTACCTGCTTCCCAAATCCTTCTCTTCCAAACCTCTTCTTAAGCTTCTCGAATTCGAGAAAAGCCCTCAATCGAAGCTTGCCCTAATCGATTCAGCGTTTCTTCACCGCGATAATTACCCTTCCGTTCATGTTATCCACCATATTCTCCGGCAGCTCTCTGAGTCGAATCATGTCCTCCTAGTCACCCGCGTCGTTGAACTCCTCAAAGCCCGTAAATGCAAGTGCCCTGAAGACCTCGTTCTGACGGTAATCAAGGCTTATTCGCAGAATAAAATGGTTGCTGAAGCTTTACACACCTTCGAGAGAATGGAGGAGACTTTTCAGTGCAAGCCCGGGATTAGGTCGTACAATACGATGCTTAATGCGTTTGTTGAATCGGAGCAGTGGAAGAAAGCAGAGGAATTTCTCGCTTATTTTGAAACGGTGGGTGTAGCGCCTAATTTGGAAACTCATAACATTTTGATTAAGTTTTTGTGCAAGAAGAAGCAATTAAACAAGGCGAGAGAGTTGTTGGATCGAATGTGGGAGAAGGGTTTAAACCCAGATGTGTATAGCTATAGTACTGTGATGATTGGGTTGGTGAAAGGTGGGGACTTGGTGGCTGCATCCGAGGTGTTCGATGAAATGTCTGTGAGAGGAGTGGTGCCTGACGTCACTTGTTACAATATAATGATAGATGGGTCTTTCAAGAGTGGGGATTATTGCAAAGCTAAGGGTATTTGGGAGGATTTGGTGAAAAGTTCTGCTGTGTTCCCGAGTGTGGCTACTTATAATATAATGATTGATGGCTTGTGCAAGTGCGGTAAGTTTGATGAGAGTTTGGAAATGTGGGAGAGAATGAAGAGGAATGAGCGAGAGAGGGATGTGGTTACCTGCAGTAGTTTGATTCATTGGTTGTGTAAGGTTGGGAACACTGATGGGGCTGTGAAGGTTTACAAGGAGATGGTCGAAAGGGGGATGATGATTGATATTGTTACTCATAATGCAATGCTCGGTGGGTTTTGTGAGGCTGGGAGAATAAGGGAGTGTTTTGAGTTGTGGTTGGCTATGGGGAAGCAGAATTGTCGTAATGTGGTCAGTTATAACATTTTGATTAGGGGATTGTTGGAGAATAGAAAGGTCGAAGAAGCAATGTCGGTATGGGAGATTCTGCGAAAGAAGGATTGTGGGCCAGATTGTGTAACTTATGGAGTTTTAATTCATGGTTTGTGTAAGAATGGCTTCTTGAATAAGGCCTTAAAATTTCTTGCAGAGGCTGAAGATGGAGGTGTTGAAGTTGTTCTGGATGCTTTTGCATATTCTTCAATGGTGGATGGCTTATGTAAAGAAGGGAGAGTGGATGAAGCTGTGGCCTTTGTCCGCAAGATGGAAAGCCGGGGTTTTACGTTAAGTCCACAGGTTTTCAACCCACTGATTAATAGTTTCGTACAAGCTACCAAGCTGGAGAAGGCAATTCAATTTTTCAGGGAAATGGAATCGAAAGGCTGCTCCCCAACCGTGATCTCTTATAATACCCTTATAAAGGGTCTGTGCAAAGCTGGACGGTACACAGAGGCACATTCTTTTGTGAAGGAAATGCTGGACAAAGATGGGAAGCCAGACATGATAACTTACACTTTGTTGTTAGATGGCCTTTGTCAAAGTAAGAAGATCAACGAGGCTCTAAATCTTTGGCAGCTAGTTCTTCATGATGGCTTTAAGCCAGATATAATCATGCACAACATTTTGATACATGGACTTTGCTCCGCGGGCAAAATTGGAGAAGCCTTAAGATTTTTCAAAGAGATGAAGAGCTCCACATGTCTTCCAAATCTTGTTACATACAACACCCTTATGGAAGGTTTTTTTAAGCTCAGAGGACGACAAGAGGCATTGGCTATATGGGCATGCATTTTAAGAAATGGGTTACAGCCAGATATCATTTCATATAACATTACCCTTAAGGGGCTTTGCTCATTTGGCAGAATATCAGACGCCGCCAGATTTCTGGATGATGCACTGAATAAGGGAAGGAATCCAACTCGTGTAACATGGAATATCCTCGTAAGGGCCGTGGTTAGTCATGGGATTTCCTGAATTGTTCCTGACCCGACGAAAACATGGATATGTAAGTTCGTCATGTCTGATAGTTCATAGTTATAGTCAGTGAAAGAGAAGAGTCCACCATTGTGTTTTCGTGGGAAGATGTTTCATGTTTTTGTCTCTCATTCTCAATTTCTATCTATTCAACGTAGTCAAAGTAGTCTTTTAGCAAAGGTCTTATATTCTTTCTAACAGTGTTTCTAATCTGATTATGCAGTATGCAGGGTCAAACAATTATATAGATGATATTACACTGAGGCCTCTGGAAATTTGGTGAGTATCTAGTAGAAAATCACTAGCATCTAAACTCTATTAGTGTGTGAAGTGGGAGAATTGTTGTTTTAGGCATATAAGTCTCGTTTTTGAATCGTTTACTCTGAAAATCCTATAAGCTTTCAACTCTTGTGCTTTTTTTCCTTCCAGGTTCAACTCTGCTCACATGGCTGCATCATGATGTGTATGAACGAACCCTGATGATCAATGCACACATAATTCAGAAACGACAATGCAAACTGGTAATGCATTTTCTAATGCCTACAAACTGTGGCGAACTTTACAAAAAGCATCTCTGCGTTGCAACTTCGGTTACATGTGACGTGGTGTTGTGAGTAATTTCACCAAGATACAAGAAATGTGATGCTACAGAAATTTGCTGGGCGTATCAAACTCAAGTTGCAAGTGTCACACTTGGGTCTATTAACTCATGCTAAATTCACTTTCCCAAAAAAAAAAAAAAAAAACAAACTCATGCTATTTTCACACTGAATCCATCATTGCTCTTATTTGCCAGCCTTTTCCTTCTGCTCTAGCTTTTGTATGTCTGATGATGATGACAAGTTCTGCTCGTTGGCGAACCGAGTGATCAGCCCGACTAAGAGTGCTCCTAAATTTATATCGATTCAACATATTCAAAAAATTCTTTTACAAAAGGTCTTATCTTGTTTCTAACAGTGTTTCTAATCTGATCATGCAGTTTGCAAAGGCCAGCCAATTATACAGATGATATACACTGAGGCCTCAAGAAATTTGGTGAGTATCTAGTTGAAAAACTACTAGCCTCTAAGCTATATTATTGTGTGGAGTGGGACAATCGTCGTTTTGGGCCCATAAATTCTGAATCGTTAACTCTGAAAATCCTATTAGCTTTCAACTTGTGAGCTTTTTTTCCTTCTAGGTTTAACTATGCTGCAACTTCACCCACATGGGTGCAGCATCATGTATATGAACGAACCCCGATGATTAATGCATACAGAATTTAAAAACGACTATGAAAACTGGCAATGCATTTTCTAATGCCTTTTACAATATGCATCGCTGCATTGTAACTTCGGTTACATGGTACTTGGTGTTGCGAGTAATTTCACCAAGATACAAGAAATGTGATGCTACAAAAATTTGCTGGCCGTATCAAGCTCAAGTTGCAAGTGTCACACTTGGGTCTATTAACTCATGCTAAATTCACATTCCCAAAAAAAAAAAAAAAAAAAACTCATGCTATTTTCACACTGAATCCATTAGTCATTGCTCTTATTTGCCTGCCTTTTCCTTCTGGTCTAGCTTTTGTATGTCATGATGATGACAAGCTCTGCCCGTTGGTGAACCGAGTGATCAGCCCAACAAAGATTGCTCCTCAATTTCAATCGATTCAACATATTCAAAAAATTCTTTTACAAAAGGTCTTATCTTGTTTCTAACAGTGCTTTTAATCTAATCATGCAGTTTACAGGGGTCAGACAATTATACAGATGATATACACTGAGGCCTCAAGAAATTTGGTGAATATCTAGTGGAAAAACTTCTAGCCTCTAAGCTCTATTATTGTGTGGAGTGGGATAATCGTTGTTTTTGGCCCATAAATCCTGAATCGTTAACTCTGAAAAACCTATTAGCTTTCAACCCGTGAGCTTTTTTTCGTTCCAGGTTTAACATCACTGCAACTTCACTGCATGGCTACAGCATCATGTATATGAACGAACCATGATGATTAATGTATACAGAATTAAAAAACGACTATGAAAGCTGGTAATGCATTTTCTAATGCCTACTAACTATGAAAACCTGTACAATATGCATCGCTGCATTGTAACTTCGGTTACATGGTACTTGGTGTTGCGAGTAATTTCACCAAGATACAAGAAATGTGATGCTACATAAATTTGCTGGACGTATCAAGCTCAAGTTGCAAGTGTCACACTTGTGTCTATTAACTCATGCTATATTCACACTGAAGCCATTAGTCATTGCTCTTCTTTGTCAGCCTTATCCTTCTGTTCTAGCTTTTGTGCGTCTGATGATGATGACAAGCTCTGCTCGTAGGTGACCTGAGTGATCAACCCGACTAAGATTGCTCCAAGAACTGCAATTTTCTGCCATTCTGGTGAAGGGGTTGTTATCACAGATTCTGCGATGGTAAAGACCAGGATTGCAATTAGAGCAAGGTAAATGTTCTTTCTAGCCACTGATTCAGCTTTTGCTTTGGCCAGATCTTTGATCTTCTGCACTTCTTCTTGTGCCTTTGTTTTATCAACGGCAGGCGCTGCTTTCTGTCCCATCATCCCCAGGTTCTTAAAGAAGAGCCCTTCATTACGATCCTTATCCATCTGTCCCTCGAAGTCCGCCAATTTGCTTTCCTTGTCTTCTATCTCTGCCATTTCCATTTCTGCAGATTCCTCGAAAGCTTGCATGCGGCTCTCTATTTTCTCCATTATCTGAAAAATAAGAAAATGGGTGATCAGCAAAAATTGAGTATCGGACTTTAGAAAGACCAATCTTTCTTGTTCTCACATACCCTGGAACTGGCTTCGTCGAGGCGGGTGAGGGCATCCTCTCCAATCTTGTCGATCTCCGCGTTGGCCTCTTCGGCGAACTGAGTGAGGTAATCGGATCTCTCATCCAAGTAATCTGTGAGGCGGACCTTCTCGGTCTGGAGCATAGCTATTCTGGCGAGTAACTCTTGCCGGCGGGTGTCTCCACCACCACCACCTTCTGAAGATTCTGAAGTGGAATCGGTATCAGAGTCGCCGGACTTGGAGAGGCAGAGAAGCGAATAGCTCCTTGGAGTTGCTGGTCTTTTGGTGCGGAGAAATGGTTGCTTTGTTGGAGTGAAGGAAGCAGCTCCAATGCCCTTGAGAGCAATCATGTTGGCGGAGGGAGAGGTGTAGACAGGCAGCGAAGGGAAAGAGGTCAAGGCTGCCGTTGCGGCGGCCGGTTCTTTTTCAGCTGGAGGTGTTGTAGCTGCTAGGGAGAGTTGGTGTCTTTTGAACCTTTCATTCGGCGGACATTTTATCCTCTACTTTGTTTTGTTGTCCATGGGAGACGGTGAGAGCTTTTGTAATATTGAGCGGTGGGGACGAATGCCTTGGGTAAGTTACTAGGGAAAGCTAAGCAACAAGCTTGCAATTGGGTTGGAGAAAATCTCACACCGGCTAGCTGTAATTACTCGTTATTTCGAATGGTGCTACGAACAAGAATGTGACGTAAGATTTAGTTACGGTTCCAGCGGTTTCCCCCGTAAACATTGGTCTTACGGCGACCCATTGGCCTTCAGAGCTTTTGCATGGTAATGGATTTGATTAGCGGCCAGAAACATCCCAAATGTTGGTCTCTGAAGCATCACAATTCACAAACCTTCGGTCTTGTTAACGTAACAATAAGATTCATTAGGGATTAAAAGGTAAAATTACAACATAATTAACAAAATAAAATACTAATTTAATAATTTCAATCGGAAAACTCTACTCTCACTCAAACCAAGGAAATCGATTTCCATATCTTTTTATTGTGGTCTCTATCGTAGTTTGCTGCGGACCCATAAACCTTCTAATGGATAAGTGACTCACTAAAACACAACAATCCTTACAATGACCAACTATAACCACTCTAAGGGACTGCAGTAAGTGGGTTCGGTTTAGATTGTCTGACTAGCGAACAATGTTGAGCGTAATGATTGTAAGCCAAAAGAAAAGAAAGCAAGTAAATTGTTCCGGTTTTGAAATGCAAGAAAGATCACTCAGGTATGAATCCCCTTACCTCTTCAATGAGGTCCAAGTTGTAATTCCCTTCAGTCGTTTTAATGGTGATTATACTACGGAAGATCCGATACTAGATTGGAATCTCTTAAACTCACCAAGCCTTCTTAGACAAAGTAACATGTGGGCAACTAACCTCCACTAGAGTAAATTGCTAAGACAATACACAAACATCTTCACTAATGGAATAAATTCCCGTACAAAGTAGGGAATTGACTGACTCTCGTACAATTAAACCCCTACTATCAATTGACGTGACTCTCTTAACCTAGCCAGATTCTATCTCTCTTAGGTCAAAGCATAAATAAAAGGAATGTGATGAAGATTCAGATGACACATATAATCATGCCTCAATTGATTATAACCAATCAGTATAGCATCCTAAGGTTCATACAACCAAGATTCCAAACAAATGGAACTAGGTTTCTTCATACCCAAGTGGAAAGGGGGTTTACTCCAGTGAGAGAGAGAGAGAGAGAGAGAGAGAGAGAGAGAGAGAGAGAGAGAGAGAGAGAGAGAGAGAGAGAGAGAGAGAGAGAGAGAGAGAGAGAGAGAGAGGAAACCAAAATTAGAGTGATCATACTAATAATGATGTGTATAATTTGCTCTAAGATGTCAATCTTCACTCCAAAGGATGAAATCCGAGCTTCAATGGCGATATCTCAGCTTCAAATAGCTCACAGTACTTGTTCTTTTTCACTTTCTCTCTCAAAAGTCGGATCCCGAAGGCTCGAATATGCCAATTTAGTTCTAAAACTAGGTAAAACACGGACGCGAACACGCTGGTGTTTTGCTGTTGCCCGTGCTTTGACTAGGTCAACCGCTCCACTTATGTCTCGGACGGGGAGAAACACGATCATAGCAAGCAGAACACACGACCGTGTTTCTTGTTTCCACCCTTGCTCGTGTTTTCCCGCTTCTCTACCAAATGCGCTCGACATGGGGAACACGGTCGTGTTTCCTAGTACCCGTGCTTCCTGAGAGAAACCTGTGCTAAACAACAACCGAAGAGCTTCCCAAGCTGGCAGAAGAATTCAGAAGAAAAGAAGCTCGAGTGAGAAAAACTCATTGTTAGGATAAACAAACCATTATAGACCAACGTTAGCTGCTGCTTTTCTAATTCTGTAAGCTAAGTAGTCTTCATATCATTTTTTCCTTGATTTCTTGTTATTTGCTTCTTCATATTGTTAAGCTGTATTCCTACTTTATAATAGAACATATCGAGTTCAATTCAATTCATTAAGACATTGAAACGAAATGAGATGCAAAGAAGAGAACTCTTCATCTAAGAAATAATACTAGAAATATTAAAAACGAACATCCACTACAATCGTTTCAACAATACTGCAATACCCAAATAGTTGAGTTCAGGTTCGACATTAATAAATGAACGGTTGGATTGACGATTACGTACGGAAAACCCAAATCAAATCAAACTAGGTTAAGGACCAAGACCTAAATAATTAACGCGACCCAAATTGATAATTGTAGGCATAAGGGTTGTTAAGAGTTTATAACTTTGATCCGTGCAGATTATTGTTAATAGCAATGTTGTCAAAACCGAACCGGAGCATGACCTGGTAATGCGAACGGCTCGCACTTTAGCGGTCCAACCGGCAATAGACCGCTTAAAAACCGTTAGAGAACCGGTATCTAATAAACGTTATCAGTATAAATAGTGGACATTTCTTAATCAGAGCTCATCTCTTTCCTTCGAAATTGTGAAATGGAAATAAGAATTCTATTTGAAAGCCCGACATTTTTGGTTTATTTCAATTTTCAATTATCTACAATTTTTTTAATTAAATTTAGTGGCTGAATGGCAAAAACCGGACGAGCGGCTCGATCGGCTCGAACGGTTAACCGCTTCGGCCGCTCGCCAACCGCTACATAAAACCGGAGCGGCTTTTAAACTGTTCCGAACCGGTTTTATGACCGGGTGGCGGTTTTACCGGTCGGGCCGAGCGGCTCGGCTCGGCTTTAATAACACTGGTTAATAGTTAGCATGTGTCAATAACTACCCCATCCTATACCAAGTTTAACCTAAGATGGCATTGTCGTATATTGGTAATTAAGTTTGTATTTTACTCGGATCCTAGTACCCTAGCCTACTTCCCACCTTGTTGCTAATTAGTTAATTAGTTTTGGAGGTTTGAGTGGAGGACTAGAGGAGATAACTAAACTAAAGATTGATCAAAGCTAAAAGCTGGTACTTTGGGGAAGTAATCCTCCTCCTAGCTTATGGTTACTATGCATGTATAGATACTTATGGTTATCGAATGTGGTGAGAGAGCTCTTTTCCATGGGTTTTCCTGGTTATCCACACGCCTCCCCTAAACCCATATATAGTCACCTCGATCTAGGCTACCGTATCTGGGGCATTAAGCTCATTGCTCATTTCAATGGACGCTATCCACCGTCACACCAGGATTTTATCTCGGGTTGTATCCAGGAAGGCTAGCCTACGACAGGGGTTCGCTCGCCTCAACCATCATAGGTCCCTATTTATTACGTGTACATGTGTGTTTGAGTTCTATCCGCACATGTACCTCATCACTTCCTTGCAGTCCAAGTCACTAGAGTTACTTTCCTTTTCAAAGTGTAACTCTTTTTCTTCTTCTCCGTGACCTAGGGTTCTGTAGGTTCACAAGTAAACTCCTCTCCTATATATGGCTTGCTGTTGTACGTTGTAAAGCAAGTCATTCAATCATCAAATCAATGAAAGAAAGGACTAAGAGCACTAAGCTCTTCGTGGACTAGTCCTACTCACACCGAGTAGGGAAACCACGTAAAATCGTGTGTCGTTACTTCCGCATTCAATTATTTTACATGGTATAAGAGAAAACCTCGATCCATTAGGGGTTTTCAATTCTTTCATCATCCATCAGTCGTCTCCTCTCAAGGTTGCAGCTGTCATCAGCTTCTCTCGTTCATCTCCAGCATCATCGTTCGTCTCCAGCATCAGCCGTATTTTGTCTCGATCCCGAATCGCCCTCATGGCCAAGGACGAGGAAACAACCGGTTCCGGAGACACTACTGATGTGGCTCCTCTCACCAACGACGATGTCATTGGTCCGACATCACCACTTCATCTTCATCCATCCGATGCTCCCAGCCAGGTATTCGTTGGAGATTTTCTCACTAATGTTAATTATGGAGAATGGTCTGCCGAGATTTCTAATGCGCTCATTGCAAAGAACAAGCTCGGATTTGTTCTTGGAACTATTCCCCGTCCCAAGTCAGGTGATAAACTCGATGCTTGGACACGCTGCAACGCCATTCGGGGTGCTAAATGGTAATGCAGTTAACGGTTTAACCGGTAATCGTACCGATAACCGCATTTACCGGTTAAACCGTTAACCGAAGCAAACGGTAATCGGAGGAGGAATTGTTGCTAGAGGTGTACCGAGATCGGAACTATCAAATACCGCTGATCGCTCGGTATTCCGACACCGAATGGGAAATGGCCATTTAGCCGTAAACGACTAGGATTTCTAACCAAACGTCGGCCAACCAAACTTATGTAATTAGACTGTCTTTTCCCTTCCTATTATTCTATTTGCTTGCATCGCTCTTTCTTAGTTTCCCCTGCCTGCTGCACTAGCAAGACCGCCGTCCGCCGATCCCTACTCCGTTCATCGACTCCAAAGGGCCAAGAGACACGACCCAGTAGGCAGCAGCCCTCATCCAGCCATCCTCTCGGCCAGTCTCTATTTCCGTCAAGCCCCTTCGTCGTTGCTCTATTTCCGTCGAACCCCGTCGTCGTCGCCCGTCGGAGTTTAATCGCTCGACCGTACAGCCCAGCAGCTCGTCTTCTACAGCTCTCCATCGATTTGAATTTTGACAGGTAACTTGTGTAGTCGAGTTTCATAATTAATTAATAATAGGTATAGCCGAGTTTGTGTTATTGTGTATAATGTATCAATGTGTAGCCTTGTTAGTCGTAAGCGTAGCCAAGCAGAGAAGCAGTGAAGGGAGTTTGTGATACTGACATATATATTGTAATATTTCCACTTTTCACTTTTCAGTAGCCTCGTAGGTAGCCGAGTAGAGAAGCAGTGAATTGAAGGGATTTTGTTAGTTTGTGGTATTGTGTATAATTGATTAATTGTTTTTTCATTTTTGTAGCCGAAGCAATACAATACAAGTATACAAAAGTACAGCCGAGCAGAAGGGAATTTCATTGTTGAAGCAAAGTGGGCCAGTCCCTCCCCACCATCCCTTCATCACATTCGGTAATCGGGAAATCAGATGCATATCCGTACCGCAACAATTCGGTAACTGGTGTATCGAAGTAAATCCGGTGTCGGCAAACGGTAGGGCTGCTATGCTTCCCGGTATACCGGAAACTGGTCAGTCGGTAACCGATTTAACCGGTTACCGACCGTTTACCACACCTAAACGTTATGGTGGTCGGATGGTTGCGTAGCGCCATGACACGAGAACTCTGCAG